CGGCAAAACACTTGACTTTAAACCACTTTATCTGGTGTCCTGCTGTGAATATATGTTTAGCCACCTCCAATTTCTTAATGCATGATACTTTGCATGCGGTTTTGTGTTCTGATAACTTCTTATATATGGATTAATAAGTCTCCTTCCCATAGACACTATCATATGAGCTCAAAACCTTGTAAAAACCTGATCTACAGAGGGCGTCAAAAGATTCTCTAAAATAAGGCATGGCCGAGGAAAGCGTTAATATTTATTATACATGGTCCTGACGTTACATTTCTTCAGTATTTATCCTACCTTTTACGAAAGCTAGAAAGACAGTAACAACACCTTGCGCGACTGGCTCCATAAAATTGTATGATAAAAGAAACGAAATAGCCTGAAAGGCATACATTTAAAAAAATAGATAGAATTTAGCGGAAACTTACTGTCTGCCTTGCATGTCCAAGAATCAATAATGGCTGCAGGAGGGTAAGTACATCTGATAAATGATCTGGCTGAATCCCAAAACTTAAAGGATTATCGGATGTCAGCCCAATTCCGAGCTCATCACTTTCCTAAAGAGACAATTTAAAATATATTCATCCACAATATGGTAAGAAAAGTAATCGATAGGAAGCAGCGATAAATCTTTGTAGTGATCAACTTTAATAAATAATAATGACAAATAATGAAGTAAAAGCTAAGAAATGGTTGATAAAATTGAATTGAATGAGGATAAAATAATCTTAAAATAATATAGGGATGAAAAATAAAGATAATAACTAAATGAAGTACTTAAATTAAACTTGAAGAAAACAGTAGTAAAAATTGAATAAAAAAAGTATTATAATGATAAAACTATGTGAAACAATAACTTGCACTTCTTGTGACTAGTCATAAAGACTTAATTAAGAATTGGCTGTCAGAACTTATTTGATAGAGTAACTAATCCCTGATAACGAAGAGAAAACAGATTAAATGTTATTATGCATAGAAAATAGAACGAGATAATAAAGTAAGGCTATTAAAATCAAAAACCATTGGCAAACTATAAAGAAAACAACAAAGGATATAAAGTCGACCGAAATAAGTGGAGAACCAAAAAGTCAGATAATTTACAATCACGCGATGTAGAGTTTTAACGATGGAAACTTGATCCAGGAAACCATCAAGATTTATTAACTTGAAAACGAAAAAATGAAACCGTTATTTGAAACGATTGTAAAGGAAGAGAAGAAGCCATAATCACTGGTCACAAATATTTATTTCATACTCCTGTGGATATTTTTTCAATATGCCTTACTAACTATTTATTAAGAGGCGACACATTATCGGAAAATTTTAAATCAGGATTTCGATCCATCAATGAGGATCTGAATTAAGACTTAGTTGGACTAAATGATTGTAATAAATAATAAAAAAAGGAAAAATAGATCAGCAAAATAACGAAGTTAAGTGAGGTTACGAAAAGTATAAAACGAATTTAAAGGTAAAGCGTTAATTAGAGTAATTAAGAAACAGTATATAAATGAAAAATACTTAAGATACCTTGGTAATCAGGCCCAAAAATTCTTGAGCGTATGAATCAGAAGACGAGGAAGAAAGCATGGAGAGAGAACTGGTGGTAGATCGGGCAAGGTCGGCGAGCAACGCTGGTATCCGAGCAAGATGAGCAGAGTTAATGTGGTAAATAATTAAATCTGCAAGCAGGATCCATGTATTGCTAGGAAGGTGGCCCAGATATGATGAATTACTAGGTAACGAGGACCGAAGAACCTGCAGTTTAGGTGTTGCTTCTGTTGACCGAGTATCAAAACATGCCAATTTGCAGGTAGGAGAGTGGCTAGAAAGCGGTGGGGTGATTGCATCGTATTTACATGACTCCATTAACCGGGGAGGCTGGATTGGTTCAGTATTCGTTGTGATTGAGAGAGAGGACGATGCGGCATTTGGAGACCATTTACTGGATGAGGAAAGAAATCTGTTGCAATAAGCGATAAATTCACCACCATAATCTGTGGAAGAATCATTCGATTTCTAATAAAAGAGAAACAAAGGAAATTTAAGAATATAAGATGTCATGTGAGATTCATAGATAACTTAAATTTTGAAAACGTAAAATTTGACCTGAGATAAACGCTTACATGAAAAAATAACTTTAAAGCCGTTGAAATCTAAAAAAATATTTGAGAAAATTGAAAGTAACCTAGGTGATTGGAATACTTATTAAATACAAAAATAGGATTAAACAATAAAGATCAATGGGATACTGAAGGATATGCTAAGGGAAATACATAACAACGGAGAAAACTACAGATGGATGATTAATTCTTTAATTTAAAATAATTCAAGTTCACCGGAATACCGAGAATACACGAAGGAAACCAATAGGTTTAATAGTCGACTACAGGCATAAGGCAACACACATGCTAGTAAAAGTTGTGTGATTGAAGCTCAAGAAAGTAAACAATAGAATCTTGAACAGCGTTAAGAACTCAAAAATTTCCTCAAAGGATGCAGAAAATTGAGCTGGTGGGGAGGAAGTGTTAGTAACTTTTGACGTACAATCTATGTGCATAA